TACATTAGAGCAGATACTTCTTTGCCTCACGTTGCATATATTTGAATACGTACAATCTTTGTATTGTATTATATTTTTAAAATCTTGGTGTTGTAGAGGCATATTCGAAGGTAACATGTCGGCACGCAATTACAACCTGTGTAAAAAGTGGATTAAACGTCAAATATGACGATGATAATATCATGGAAGAAAATCGTTAAATTAGCGAAATAGTTGCATAAGTAAAAAAAAAAAAAAAGTCGATGTTTGAGTGTAACAGTTACATCATCAGGAAATCGCAATAATTTTAAGTTAATCAGTTCGTGTGTGGAAACCCAAACAAAATCTGTCTTGTCATCCATTTGAATAGTGTAAGTTAGCTTTTTCTACACAACAATCATTAACTTTTTTTCAGAAATCGCCCAAAAGCGACACAAAAACAGAATCGACACACACAGACACACATTATATATATATATATATATATATATATATATATATATATATATATATATATATATATATGTGTGTGTGTGTGTGTGTGTGTGTGTGTGTGGACATTGAGGTCAACACGTAGCGGCGATCGTTGGACGACTGTCAGGCCTGAAGATTGCGTTTAAGCATGAAACACACTGTCACCACTGGGTGTTGACTTCAATGTCCCTTTTATATTTACATAGGCTCTATCCTGATATTCAACTTTACCCCATAAATATAACATACCTTAAAAATATATTATTATCATATATATATATATATATATATATATATATATATATATGTGTGTGTGTGTGTGTGTGTGTGTGTGTGTGTGTGTGCATTGGAAAAAGTTGCAAATGCACATGGAGTCTTTAAGAATGTTTATTTAGAGTAACTTTACCGGTTTTACAATTCTATGATTTTCAAAATTTACATTGAGATAGAGAGAAGTGTGACTATGCCATTATATGCAGATGCGAATCTTATCATGGCATAGCTATACTTCTCTCTATCTCAATGTAACTTTTGAAATTCATAGAGCTGTGAAACTGGTAAAGTTATTCGAAATAAACATTCTTAAAGATCCAGTTGAAATTACAACTTCTATTTTCTAGTTTTACCATTGTGGTATAAAAACACCTTACTGTCTGTCGCATATATATATATATATATATATATATATATAGTGGACACAGAAATCAGTACTGAATGGCGACAGTCTGTTTCATGTTTGAACGCTATTTTCAGGCCATGTGGGTTGGATATTAGTAGCTCGACTATATTTATATATTGTCATTAGGGCATTATGGGTAGCAAGTTTAGTTATTTCCGGTTTGTTATGCTAAACTGACACCCACTGAACAGGCAGAAATGATTGTTTTAATTTATTCTAACGGCTCTAATATAAATAGTTATGGACTTAAGCGGTTATTTTACAGTTCTTTTCTTTTCTCTCTCTTGAAACAGAGAAATATCAGACTTTACAACCTGTTCACATCGGTCAACTAAAAGATTAAGAGCTCGTTTATACAAATATACACCAATCGAATTACTATACTCCACAAGAGAATAGAAGCGGCTAGAGTTCAAAAGACTCTGTGACAACGGAAACTACATATCGCTTTGTTTAAAGTCAATATGCATGTATTTCTTTTTCTCCTGTAAACTGTGAGTTATGGCATTTGCTAAAAGATATTAAACTGTGTCAGACATATATTAATTTCTACGAATATTTCAAATAAGGCTGTTTATTATAAAAGCTACGTTCACAGAAAATCGACTTAAACACACCGTTACATACAAAAAATAAATGTAAATATGTTGCAGTTTTTAATTTTCCTTCCATAATTTTATAAAATCATATCTAAAACTTGTCCCTGCTTTCTTAAATTCTGTTTGTGTGTCGTCGCCATGTTGCTTAGGAACGTACCTTACACTACACAATGGCTAAATACATTCAGTTCGTCTACAATTCATAAACTTTGACATTCTTATTTTGTATTTTACATTTTTACAAACATTATTGGTTCTATTTTATTTTTACTCGTAGATAATCGAAGACAAACGAAACAAAGAAATTACGGTTTCCGCGAACAAGCTTATCGTCGGAAGTTGCTTAATTTAAGGAAACCAGTATTTTTCGGAAACCTTAAGCAATGAAAATGTTTGGTTAAAATAAATATTAGTATCTTATGCGAAACATAAATATATGTAAAAATCCTTATAAACACGGAGACATACTAACGTGAATAGACTATAAAGGAAATGTATTTGTTTGTTTGTGTGTATAACGGCATATCAACTCCTTATGGGCCATTTAATGGCGAAATTTAGTTCCCTTGGGAGCTTGGGTAATGTTTTTCTTTTTACAAAAATCTATTGCTAGTATATTTTTCTTTTACAAAACTCTATTGCCGGTATATATATATATATATATATATATATATATATATATATATATATATATATATATATATATATATATAGCATAATGAGAAGCCACGTATACTTTCTTAATATGTATATGTAGAAAAAGTTTCAAATTAAAAATAATAATGTTTTATTTTATGAAAGTATTATATATATATATATATATATATATATATATATATATATATAATGTTTAGAGTTTTGTAAAAGAAAAATATACCAGCAATAGATTTTGTAAAAAGAAAAACATTACTCAAGCTCCCAAGGAATTATATATATATATTTATATATATATAAATACATATATAAATAAATAAATACTTTCATAAAATAAAACATTATTGTTTTTTAATTTGAAACTTTATATATATATATTAAGTTTATACTTTCAGTTTTTTTTTCCCCAGTTTAGAGGTTAACTATTTGCCCATAGCTGGAATCCTAACAGTTGCTACCGCCTCATGTCAGGGTGAACCTGTGAATAACAGCAATTAAAAGGTGGTTCCATGCTGCTCAAGACATCCCAATCAGAGGCCTTGCTGCTCGATGTAGTTTATTGTCATAGTCAGGACGGGAAATTTAAATCTTATGACATTAACAAATGTCGGACTTAGGCATCAGTTAAACCTGAGTGTCTCACGGTACGCAGACGACTTAAGAAAAACATTTCGGTGAGATGCTTTAAAAATTCTGGCATAATTTTTAATAAAGTATTTAATAATTTAGTCACACAAATTTTAAGTTCAGTTTTGTTTATAGTAAAAGTATAATCACAATTTAGTGATTGATAAATGTAACCATCAATGCTGTACTTAGATTTGGGGAGATCATAAACAACTGGAGGCTTGATATTTTAAAATTTAGGCTAGAATTTTCATTGCCGCTGTTCACCTAAAAAATTCGGAATTTTCTAAGATATCCGCCCTAAAAGCCCTAAATTTGAACTTAATGGGTTTATATTTAAATGTATTTACTTGACTTCCCCACTAAAGCAGAGGATATGAAATAAAAGTATTTTGTTATGGGGGGGGCATGTGGAGCGTAGACATGAATGGGTACATAGGTCAAGGACAAAAATCCCCAATCTCCGCGATTTCACCTCTCTTAATGCAAAGAGAAACGTGTTGCCGCAGCGTTGGAATTCTCGGGATCGGGTGCCTTATCACATCTGAATTAAGGAGAGAACGTTTTCATCCCGGCCAAAAAGCCGAGAAAGGGATAGTGTTTAGAATTCTTTGTTTTTCTAAATTCTCGTTTACTGAAAAGGGGAATTTTGTTGATTTTACATAACGTTATTTTGATGTGTACCATGATAAAATGTTAATTTCATTAACAGATTACATAAAGAGTTCAGTTTGGATTTCCCTGAAGTTTACCCGGATCGCCAAATATTGGAAGAAAGTCGCAGAACATAACAGCCTAAATGTTGGGATAATAACAATTTCATTAATTTTTTTTTTTTTTACAGTAATTCTTCTTATTAAAAATCTCAAAAATAGGTGATTCCGCACATCAAACCTATACACATCTAAATGTTACATTCATTCAAAATTATACATTCCTCAAATTGCACACACACACACACACACACACACACACACAGATAGATATATGAGATATATATTTTTATATATCAAGAAGAATATTGGGGAAAATGTATGACAAAGTGGAAAAAGTTTTCTTGTGACGCGTTTCATCCTTCAGGATATCATAGGACTAAATTATATATATATATTTATATATATATATATATATAGATATATATATATAGCCGAATTGATTTAGCTTCTTTTTTTTCCATCACTTTTCTAAGTAGGTATCACATACACTGATAATAGAAGATCTGCAAAGTAATGGTGAAATGTTGCAAGAGCCAGGCACAAATTTACTGTCGATAAACTTACGATCAAGGCACTCTCGAAACTTTTTCGTCGTAGTGAATTATTTTCTCCTTTGATCGGAGTAGATTGTCCAAATTGCGGTCAGTCTCGTTACACTTTTCACCTTTCCTGTCAGATCTTCTATTATCACAAATGTGCGATACTTACTTACAAAGGTGATGGAAAGAAAAAAAAACGGACTATATATATATATATATATATATATATATATATATATATATATATATATATATATATATATCAATACTATAAAAAATTTAAAATTCCCAGCTACACTGTTGTGCGCATGTGTAGTTCTATCAACATAACAAAAATTAGTCCGATGACATCCTGAAGGACAAAACACGTCACAAGTAAACTTTTCCACTTTGTCATATATATATATATATATATATATATATGTGTGTGTGTATGTATGTGTGTGTGTGCTTGTGTGTGTTTATATATATGTGTCTGTGTGCTTATATATGTGTGTTTATATATATATATATATATGTGTGTGTGTGTGTGTGTGTGTAGGTGTGTGTGTTTGTGTGAGTGTGTTTATATATGTGTGTGTGTGTTTATATATCTATATATGTGTTGTGTGTGTGGTTATATATATGTGTGTGTTTATATATCTATATATATATATATGTGTGTGTGTGTGTGTGTGTGTGTGTGTGTGTGTAAACTGCGTTAGATGGACCATTCCCGTCCTGTGTTGTTCCGTCATGCTTCAACACCCTCAGGTTTTTTGTTCACTTTTTTCAGTTCCATTGCAAACATTACAGCTTCAATGACTTCCTTCATTTCAAACTCGACTGAATCCCCGTTCACCGATTTTGTCTTGACCGGAGCAGCCACGCCCATGATTGTGTCGTAATAGGTCTTCTGGTGTTTCTCTCGCCGTTTCTCCTCGTGGGCCTCCATGTAGACATTGAATATATCTGTGGAAAGAATGCCGACCATAAGAACATTTTTGATGATAAAAGCGGAGAACTTTTCACCGTACATTGACCAAAGAATCAGACGAACGCTCATGAAAAGCAAGTTGACCAAAACGATCTGTAGTACTTTTTGAGTGAGAACTAGCCGACGGAACATATGACTGGTGTGGGTCCGGCCACGATGAATTATAGCGCACGGGAAAACTGGGACTAACATATTAATGACGACAATGGCCAAGACGAGACGGAAAACAATCTCTTCGTCACCTCCCCAGCGGGTGTGTTTTTCTTCTTCTTCGTACAAAAGTTCCAAAAGGTCCATAGTATCCAACAAGTCGATCGTCACAGTGGCTCCGACTTCATGTATAAAACTCTTCATTTTCCCGCTCACAGATCGGTGGATGTTTGATATTAACATCAAAAAGAAAATGACGGATGTCATACCAACAGCAGTTTGCATACCTGTTGCGCCCTGAATTGTCTTGGCCTCCCACTGTTCAATCGATTCTTCTGGGGTCATAGTGAACAAAACAATTATCTTTATTGATATTGTTATGCTGTAAATTAACCAGGCTAAGGGCCACCAAGGGAAATAGGATTTGTCATGTCCTTCGCGACACGATAACGGATCACTTTTCGGTCTAAATCCCAAGATAGCGTCGTGTGCTTTGGGAGTCCGAGCGAAATGTCTGTAAGATTTGGTGAAGTGAGCAAAGAAGAGTAAAATGGCGATCCAGTCTGGTATTAGTATAAACCACCAGTATGGAGATTGGCTGTAAAAGACCAACAAATAGTCGAGATAATGCACCTGGGCGAGTACAAGAATCAGGCATAAGAATCGAGATGTGAAATGGTTGACGTGTTCACACAGGTGAAGGCATTTCTTGCGAGCCGACATGATGACGTTCACCTTAGGGCTCGGCGGAATCTGTTTGGAAGAAAAAGAAAGAAAAAAGTTCAGAAAAAAAAATGACGAGAATAATGTCACGAAAGTTTAAAGGCGAATTATTTCAAAAGAAATAAAAGATTGCTGTCAGAAGAATTATTATTTATAATCAACATTAGAAAAAAAAAAAGATCTAATTTATCTTACAATAAAACAAACCGTATGAGATTTAACCAAACTTGTTTTCTGTTTCTGATTCATTGCAAAAACAATAACAAATATTCACATTATCATTATTATTCTAATTTTCTATTCGTCAATCTATAAAACTCTATACACAAATTACATAAAAGTTGATTCCTTCATGGTCACCTCGGCCTGAGATAACGGTTACATTGACATTTATTTTAATCGAGTTCACCCCAAGCAAGGCAGCAAAGCCACTAAGACACATTGGGGTTACTGGGTGTGGATGTATTAGAAAACCGAAATATTAATAATGAGCGAGAACAATAGAAGAGTAATCAGGAGGACATTAGATAGCGATTGACATTACATTTAAAGTTTTGAAGATTAAAATTGACTGGAAGCATGGACCAGGAAGAGAGTTACACATGGGAGAAGTGCGATTGAAGAATCAGTTAGCATAGAAATTACGGTACTGCTTTTAAATTCCTAAAATCTAAGTACCATGGCGAAGAGTTCATTCGAAAAGTCGCCATGAAAGTATTTATAGAAAACGCACAGGGAAGCAACGGCGGTAGGAATATGACTTAAGCCGAGACGCCATAATAGGACTAATAATATTGCTGATTCTTCTTTGGATTTTATCAAGAATTACTGAATGTATAGCAGGAGCACTGGACCTTATGTGGCAGCAATATTCTAATTATGGATGAATGGTAGATTGATAGATACGTATGATAGATTCTGAGAAATTGTCTAGTACGACACAGTGAACCAACGTTTTTAGCAGTTGACCGAGAAATGGATTCAATATAATCTTTCCACTTCATGGCAGCCGAGAACGTTAACTCGAGAATACTGAATTGTGAGTTCGATCATCACCGGGTGCTTAATACTTAGAGATTTTTTTTTTTACCAAACTAAGCTTAGCTTACTAATAAACAATACTGTATCCTGTCGAACAAAGAAATTCAAGTTATTAAAGCCGGCATGCGAACCTCCACTGATTGAAAAGGGTTACACTTTTATAAATGATTATATTATAAGAGTAAATTAGTGCATAGTACGTGTTTGAAAGCAAGGTGTACATGAGACTATAAAAACAAGCCTATGAGGTCACAGGGCGTGCCACGGTGACTTGTTCCTGTGGGAAGCGAAATTTTAATGAAACCGAAATTCGCACCACAACTTTGCTGATATTGTCCTCGATAAAATAATATTGAAGAATATGTCCTGAAATAATAAGAGACTTGGCATTCCAATTTCAAAATGATTACAAAAACATTCCATACACTTCAAATACCATGTCATTTAGAAAAACACATTGATCTATTTTTCATGTGTTTTGGTGAAATTCGCCAGGAAACTGTCTACCAAGCAACCCTTTAGCATTGCAATAAAAAGAAAGAAAGATGCACGTCCTGATGCCAACTGCAATGCTAACGAAAACGGATAATTTAAGGAGACGCCCAACGTACAAAAGTAGACGGATTTACACAGTAGCAACAAAATATCAAATAAATGCATATACTTTTCTGTCTGTAAATACATTCAACACGGAGTAGAAATAAGACAGATAAAAATTCAGTTTTCGGATGAATGTTCTGTGGAGGGATGCGCGATGTGGTCTGAGTGGGCTATCGGTTCGCAAAGAGAAATCGGGGAACCGAGTTTCAATTCCAGTCGGGTTCGTTTCACTTACGCGCAAATACCTTTGGGGAAATATATGAATCCATTTCTTATCTCCCCCAGCTATGGATATAATATCAAGCCAGACTGTGTCCTTTAGCCTTGGTTGGGAACCAGTCTACCGCAGAAGGAAACGACAACCTACTGCGGGATAATCTTCTGCCTAGTCAGTCATGGATCGAAAAAGGCATGATCGCCCAGTAGAGCTCTTGACTTATTCTTTGCTGAAGGAAACGGATTTTAATGAAAAAAGAGAAAGAATTTAAAGAAAATTATGACAAATTTTCCAGAACTCATTTTCTATCCGCTCAGTAAAATCTGTTAGAATCTGTTGTAAATTATTTACAAAATTCAAGCAAGTACAAAAATTTAAATATTTGGGCCGAAAGTGCGACATTGAAATCCGAAGGCGTATTGAGATAACGAAAGATGCCTTCCAAAAGCTAAGAAAAAGATTAAGAAACAGAAAAAATCGTTAGAAACAAAAAGTACTGAACTGTTATGTAATACCGGTCCTCCTATATAGCAGTGAATACTGGACAATCTCTTTAAAGATGAAGAAGACAATTGAGGCGACTGAAATGTAATTCTACAGAAGGATGCTGAGAATACTATAGAGTGAACATGTGTGCAACGGCAAAGTTTTAGAGAAAATGGAAACAAAAACGGATACTTATACTTAACATCAGGAAGAAGCCGTGGAAATTTATCGGGCACATAATGAGGAAAGAAGGCTTGGAAAATTTGACACTCACAAATTGAAGGCAAGAGTTGACAGACGATACATCGCATAAAATACTTAGTCAGCTTGACTAAATATATGGGAGAACTGGGTTTAGGGGAGATAACAAAAAGTTATTAAGAGCTACAAAGGGTAGACAATTGTGGAGCGCCATGATCGCTCACGTCCTGAAGGGACACGGCTTACAGAAGAAGATAGCAGATTTTATTTTAAATCATTTACATTCAGACTAATGTCCTTATCTTTGTTGGGATTATCACGGCGTTTCACCTGTTGTACCTTCAACCCTTCATCAGGAGTTGTTGATCCGGTTAACTTGCAGAAAATTTCGAACTGAACCTTTTATTTAAACTACGGAACAATAACATAATTGATTAAAGCATTTTTTCAATCCCTGGTTCGGCTCCTGCTATTTAATCCATAGCTGGAGGAGATAAGAAATGAATTCAGTCCTTTCCTCAAAGGTATTTGCGCGTAAGTGAATGTAATGAACCCGACTGGAATTGGAATTCGGTTCCCCGATTTCTCTTTGCGAACCGATTACCCACTCAGACGACATCGCGCATCCCTGCACAGAACATTCATCCGAAAACTGGATTTTTATCTGTCTTATTTCTATTCCGTGTTGAGTGTATTTACAGACAGAAAAGTATATGCATTTATTTGATATTTTGTTGCTACTGTGTAAATCCGTCTACTTTTGTACGTTAGGGTGTATCGGTAAATTGCCCGTTTCCGTTAGTATTGCAGCCGGCATCAGGACATCAGGACAAGTTCCTTTCAATCTCACATTCAGTAGAAACACACGACTCGCAATAACTGAGCAGTACTAAACAAAACAACTCTAGACATGGACAGCGGCACGGACAACCAACTCCCAGCATCCCCCGTAGATCAAATAAAGGGTTCAGTTTGAAATTCCCTGACGGTTAGCCGGTTCGACAGATATCTGAAGAAATTCACAAGACATAACGGCCGAAATGCCGTGATGATAACAAAAAAAGATGAGGATATTATTCCGACTGTAAATAATGATTATTCTTCAGCTCAGGAATGATAGCAGGATTTAACATGAATATTTCTATCCCTTTAGTTTGGTTGTTCTGGGTTTGAGAAGTTTACTTTCTGACATATTCCGAGACAGACTGATTAGCGAGGAGTATTCCATTCTGAGCTTATTGACAAATCAAACTGACCTTTTGTCATTTCTATATTGATCGTATAAGGGGAATTTATCATGAGGTCAAGGAAGACATAATTTCGTTTTTTTTTTCTAATTTAAAAGATAATCTATAAAGCAATATCATTAAAAGCTTTGGGAATTTGTATTTTCATTTTGAGCCGAGGGATGTGGTTTTTGCAGTCTTCAATTTTGAAAATATCAACTTATTTAATTAAAAGACAATTTAATGATCGATAATTGGCAAATGATTTCATTAAGTTCTTAAACAGGTTAAAGGAAAATATCAAATTTATAATAAACGCGACAAGGAAACAAAAATAATTGTAAGCAAAAAAGAATGTTTTAATAATTTCTCGAAGCATCCGGAAATACTAACACACACACACAGACATAAGATAATTTCTTGTTTAAAAATCAGAACCATTATGCCCAGCCAAATTATAATTCAGGTAATTTAAACTCAATTTTATTATTGTGCTGACCTCTCGATATTTACATGATAAACGTTCTGATGAACTCCATTCCTTAGTTCCACCAGTTACGACCTTTACAGCTAAGCCTCTCTCTACGCCATGCCATGTACACTGCCTTCATATTCCATTTGCCATCGTATACCATTAGTAAAAAGAAAGTTCTCTGACAGCTTCGTCCCAAGAAGCCCTACTTTGTGAAACAGACCCCCGAGAGGATGCTTTCACGACCACTACAATCTTAACCGCTTCAAGTCAACATTTAGCCACTATCTTTCCCACATAGCATCATAAACTGCTCTTCTTACACCCGCCACTCTTATGGCTTAGAAACAATTTTCTCCAGCAACTCTCTACCTTGAGT